TCAAACATTTATATAAATATATAAAATAAAATTATAAAAATATTTATTTATTAATCTAATATTAATCATACAGAATCTAAACTATTACGAAAATTCAACTGGAACTATAGTTAATAGATGTAAGATGTAATATTAAAAATATCTTTTTTTCAATGCACTTTTGATTTGAGTTCTATATTGTTCATTTGAAATAATTAATAAAATGTATAACCTTTCTAAGATATATAAATTACGACTACAAAATATATGCATGTATAGGAAGGAAAAGGAATATATATTTTATTTAGTCTTATTGACTCCGCACTCAGGTTTATTAGTTATTATTTCTTTTTTAATAATTGACATTTTTATCAATAAAGATTATGTAGTAAGTTACATTATATTTATAAATACATATACTTTATTGTATATAATATTTAGGAAAATATATTTTATTTCTATACTTAAACAATAATWAATCTGATAATAATATATGATTTTATCATACAAACATTAAGATTCAATTAGCTTTAAACAAAAAAAAAAAGGTCTTTGGGAAAATATGTTTTAATCACATGAGACATCTCCAGACCTTGAATCAGACTACTTGAGAAATGTTTTCTGTAAAATCGTATTACACATCTTGAAGTGGTACTGTGATATAATATATAATAGGCATAAGTAAGTAACAAAATTGAGAAATATTTTAATATTCGAAACAAATATTAAATCATTTAAATATACAACGATTTTCACCAAAAATCTCTATTATTTATTAATATATAATGATTTTTACATTTGAAATTGATTTTGAAATTATTAAATGCATATTAATYATTTTTAGATTTATTTATTTAGTAAYATTATATAATATTAATATGTAAAACACTTAAGTACCTAAATGTAATATTATTACAGCATTGCATAAACAAATTGATTAAATAGTTCATTAAAATGTAATAGATCAATCGTTGACTACTAAATCATGTTTAAGGAACCATTAGCTTACCATGGTTTCATTAAATGTTAATGATGGTATATAAACTTATTTGACATTTAATCTGTCAAGTATTAAATAAATATAGATTAAACTAAAATTGAAAAAAATTATATATTTTTATATTTTATCTAAGAGTTAATTGGTTAATTTTATAATTTCTGTAGACATCTATATACCATATAATAGAGCATAAAGCAGTTGGTATTATGTATCACTGATACTGAATCAGTTCATATTATTCTAATTGATTTTAAATAATTATATTATTGAAATATGTGTCGAAAAAAATGATTTTTGCCTTATAGTTCAAAAAGATTACAAATTGTCTGTATAGATAATAATTTTTTAATAGCCAAAACTTCAAAATCTTGAACAAATTAGGCGTATATATATTGTTTCATTTGAAATATATATTAAGTATAGTTCATGATATATTCTCGTAATATTAATTTAATTATTAAAGATTTAATTTATTCTAATYAAATAAATAAATATATTAAACAAAATTCTACTCAAAAACATATMATTGTAACTCACGTATTACTTTATATGAAATCAAAATCAAAAATGTTCTCATCAGTGTAATGACCAAAGCTTATATTAGGTAGCAGTATTGCGATGTAGGTAATGTGTAAATACAATTTTTAAACAATAATAAATCTAACTTGTGTAATATTATTATCATAATGCTATTCGGTACCGTATATAATATACAAGACCTTGGTTAACGAACTCGTTAACTCATGTTATTTAATCTAACAAATAGTTGATGTCTAATTAAAAAAAAAAAATAAAACCATTTAAGAGTCAAGGGAATAACAATAAAAAGATTTCATTTCATTTCCACATTTTAACTATATTATACCGACCACAAATATTTTTATAATAACAATTTTATTATTTCTTCCAGGAATAGAAAATAAATAATAGGTACGCTTTATATAAAAATACTCTGTGACCTCAATTATTATGCATATTTTACTAATTATTGGATGGATTATAAAATAAAATAAAATTCTTCACAGCCACCCTTAGATATACCATAGCTGCAAATACATAATGATAGTAATAACATAATCAAACACATCTCAATCAATAAAATACAATTATAATATATTGTTGGTGTCCTATTAAAGAGGACAATATATTATATAAGTCAATATTACCAAAAATTTATAGGAGAGGAAAAATTCATATCGGTCGAATAAAAAGTTTTAAAAATTGTACCATTTCAAAGAGATTAATTCCTAAATAATTTTTTACTCACAGTAAAATTTAACATTAAACTAACAAAAATCTAAAAGAAATATCAAATATACATAGCTTTTTAATCAAACTCTTAACCTACTGACCTGCACGCAAAATAAAATTATCATAATGCAATGTATTTCATATTTCATATTTTTTTTTTTTTAGGTAAACTTGTCAAAATGTACTATCAATAAAAATCACAATTAGTCCAAATTTAAGCATATAATTAATTATTACTTATTTATATAAGTAATACGCTCAAAAGCCATTTTTATTAGATAGATAACTTATTAGATATACCTAACTAATAATATATGTAATAAAAAAAAAATATAATATCACAAGTAACAAAAAAATAGTGCAATGTAAGGAGATGTTTACTTTTATAATTTGTGATAAATTCTTCAGCCCAAAATTTGTATATAATTCAGTTATGTACAAAACCGTTTATAACACGGCAAGCTATAAACATATTATTTGCAATAAGTATAATTAAATAATTCAGAAATTAACAAACTGTATTAAGATATATTAAATCTACTGTATAATAATAAGACTAATTTAATT